CATTTTCTTGTAACTTACAATTTGTCTTTCCATGAAACCCTTTTCAGACTACTAAGAATTGTAAAAAGAGTAACATTTAAAATTAGAAAAACCTTTGTATCTTTATTTTGACCTCTCCATTAAGAAAGCAGTTGAAAAATCATTCTTGGGTTTTTGGGAAAATGTTTACCATCGATTGAATGAATTAAAGTATATTTAAGAATGTAATTATTTGAATTAATAAACATATGTATGTATATTATTTTTACCCATGCACTTACCGTCTCGATTTATCACTAAACGATTCTCGCTTTACTTGAATTCCACATAGATGTGGTGCCCACCCACACCACCGCAAGATGACAACGATATCTACATCGACTACTCGCTGACATTTATGTACGAGATGACTCCCATACCAGATGCGGAACTGCCGCCCGTCTACATCAAGAAAGACTACAAGCGTTCGCGTGGCGATGCCGGTTTCCCGCTGGATGGTAGTCGGCGTCCGTTGAAAATGCGCCGAGAGGATAACTATGTTGCGCCTCGTTCACTCTTCGATCGTCCATCGGCGGCGATAGCACGCATTCGTCGTGATCTGAAGAATCAGCGTTATCGTGGCGTTTTCAAGCCGAACGTGCAAATACCCGGATTGAAACCGCAAACGCCACAAAAGCAGCTGGTGGAGCCAGAAGGCATGGCTGAGTGGACTATTTTCGAAGACATCGTGATTTTGCACGTCTTGGTCAATCTACAGGGATTGCCATGCAATTTGATGGTGCTCTCACCGGGTCATACACCCAATTGGGACTTGGTTTCGGAAATTGTTAATTTCCAATCGAAAACCTACCGTTCTCCTAAACAATGCCGTTGGCGCTATGAAATGGTAATACAGCCACGCGAAGAGGGCAAATTTGTGGAGAGCCCAAAAAAGCAGAAGAAGATGAAAGCGATGCTGAAGTCGGAGTACCTTAAGGGGCCACTGCGTTATCTACGCACTACGCTCATGTATGCGAACGACAACAACACCACCTTCACAAAGCTAATGCGCTCGCGCTTCGATTGCATCAAGGCGGCGTATCTAAAGAAGGCGCCACCACCGAAGCGTCACTTCAATACGCCGAGCCTCATGAATCCCAAACACATGGAGGTGCTGCAAGAGTTCGGCATAGTCAACTACGATCAACCCATCTCGCCATTGAATATTGCTGCCATGAAGGCGAATAAGATTCGGGAGAAACAGCGTAGTCAATGCCCACCGCCACCGCCACCAGTGCCGGCGCAGGTGGTGCCAGTGCAGCAGCAGCAACAGACACAACAGCAGACAGCCGCCACTGTGTCCCAGGTGCAAATACAGGAAATGGTGGTGCAGCAGCAACAGCAGCAGAATGTCTCAACAGGCGCAACAGCGGTGCAACAAGCCAGCGCTTTACACGCGCAACAGCTACAAATCCAGCATATACCCAGCAGTAATGTGCAGGGTGTTACGCAGCAACAAACTGCAACAGCGATTGTGCTACAGCACGCTGGTTCTATGCAGCAGTCAGCCGGCACCACGACCCCCCAAACGCAGCAGCAAATTTTGCGCGCGGGTATGGGCAATACGCAGATTGTAAAGGCCATAGTGGCGCCGCAGTCGGGTTTACTCACAGCCGGACAAATGCAGCAACTGACGCAACAGGCAGCAGCCGCGGGTGCGCAACATGTACAATTGCAACAACAAGGTACTGTGGGCACCCCCTCCTCCGTCTCGGTGGTGCTGACCACTCCGGTGCAAACGTTACCATCCAATGTGCAATCGGCGCAACAACACGCGCAATCATCCACCGCGCAAATCGTTTCAATTTCACCCCAGACTATAGTGTCCACCGGGTCGCAGAGCGGTGGCAGCATCGTGCAGACTATACCTTCGCAGTCACTGCCGCAAGTCGTGTCCGTATCGCAGCTTGCCACTGTGGGCACTGTGCTGACCACGTCGGCGAATTTGCAGCCCAGCGCCACTGTGACGACATTGAATACATCGGCGCTACGTGCACAACGCATTGTAGCAGCAACCGCGGGCACACTACAGGATGTCGTACTCCAGCAGCGCAGCGGCAACCCCAGTCCTACTATTGTTTCCATGTCCAATTTGGGACAGAGCGTGGCGGCCGCACAATTCCAAGCGGCACAGCTTCGATTGGCATCAATGCCAGGCACTTCGCAGCAGGTCACAAAGGTGCCGGTGAGTACCTTGCAACAGAGCGCCAAGATTGCAGGCAACGTCGGCGGCAATCAGCCTGCGCACATACAACTCTATCGCCAGCGTCAGCAACTGAAGGTGCTGCAAGCCACGCCAACCCAGGGCGGCAGCCAAACACTCGTACAAACGGCCAGTGGGCAAACAGCGCTGGTGAATGCCGCTGGCACCATTATACAAGGCAGTCTAGTGCAGACCGCTGGTGGACAAGCCACAATGCAGGTGCAAGGTCAAAAGGTAGCTGTAGCCACTGTATCGTCAGCCAATATGACAGCGGCGGCGTCAAGTGGCGGCGTTGCAACCTCCGTGGCCACAGTGCAGGTGGCGCATCAAGGCCGCACGCAATTCATTAAGCAAGTTGGTGGCAAACAAACTATAGCGCGTCAAGTGGGCGACGACATGGTGCTAGTTAAGCGACAGGTGATTGGCGCGCACCAAAAAGCGCAGGTGCTACAGCAAGGCCAGATATTCAATACGACGGCCACTTCGGCGCAAGGCACTGTACAGCTGCAGCAGCAGCAGGCACAAAGCGCTGTCGGAGGCGGTCAGCAACAATTACAGTCACAACAGCAGCAAGTGCAACAGGTGACTGCGCAGCAAATAGCCACACTTGTGAAGACGTCCTCCGGCGCAGGTGTTGTGCAGCAGACCAGCGGTGGGGGTGGCGGCAGTGTAACTGTCTCAACTGGTGGTGGCCAACAAAGCACTGTGAATATGGCGCTTACGCACATCAAGCCCGGCGGTCAGATAAAGGTGACCACCTCCATGGCAAATCAGGCGCAGATGCGACAGTTGCACATGCAGCCGTTGAATATGCCGCGCAAAATCAATCGTATGACGCAGATAGCGACGGCCGCGCAGGCTGGCCAGCCGGTTACCACCTCGGTGGGACAGTCACCTTCCGGCGCGACGGTAGTGCAACAGCCTAAAGGTGCCGGCAGCATGCAGACGCAATTGGTTCACATACAGAACACGAAATCGCTGCCCAGTTCAGTGACTGTGCAGCAAATACAACAGGTGATGCGACAGGGGCAGCAGGGATCGTTGGCAGCCACGGGGCTGGTCCTGAGCAAGACTAGTGTTGGACGCGTTATACCCGTTTCGGTGGCATCGCAGTCTAATCAGCGGCAAACCATACAGGTGAGGAGAAATGTGAGAAATTG